TCATAGACGAGACCCATAGAATCAAGATTTTATGATCATTATGATTTAATGATGATGGGGAAAAATCAATTCACACCTGAGCTACCAGTAGGTGTCATATTAGTAATAAATTAATTATTAAATACATTACAGTAGTTCAGCATTTTCTTCAGTACTTGTGTCATTCCCTTGTTATTACACAAAACACATGTTTTTAGTTTATTTGTATGTTTGGATTTTTGCCAAAATCTGGGTCAATTTTTATGTCAACAAATCTTTTAGAAATATAATCACGATTAATACTTATTTTATGCATGCATGATAATTAGAACCATCTTACAACAAAAATTTAATTTTCCCCCAACATTCAAAGTGACTGCTGAGCAAATGAAGCATTAAGAAGTTTTTGAGATGTAAAAAATGTAGAGATGATTCAAGTGAAAGGACGACTGGTGAACAGATAAAGGCTGAATCACTTTATTGGGTAAATCATGTTAATTGCTGCACTTTTATAGCATTTTATGGAAACAGAACTGTGATAAAAAGCAACCCGATGGTCATTTGCCTTTACTTAGGAACAAATCCTGAAAAGCAGCGGATATAAAGGATCATTTACAGCACCCGATGCTTTTTATTACAGTTTAAACTTCAGAAGAGCTTGATGAATCCACCCTCAAGAATTATACAAATAATACAGATTCCTCCACACCAACTGTATGATATCCTTGTTTATTATAAGCATGCATTTTTAATCTTTGAGCATTAAAATTATAGTTCACCTACACTTTTTTTTAATTCTGTCATTATTATTTTCTCACTGCTTTATTGTGAATTTCTCATTCTTTTGAATACAAAGGAAAATCTGTTGAAGGATGGTGGGTAACATCCTTCAACAGATTTTCCTTTGTATTCAAAATATCTGAAGAATAATATTTAATTGATCAATTAACTGGTTTGAACCACTTGAGGGTGAGTAGATTTTACATTTTGGGTTAACTTTTTAAATATCCATCCCAATTATAGGTCCAAAATAACACGCATTTAAGAAATTTATTGTATATGACATTAATTAAGGGATGCAATTCAGAAAAACTGTGTGTAAAAGTTCAATGGAGTTAAAGTTCATTGAATGATTTTATGATTAAAAAAAATTAAAATAATACAACAACAAAATAAATAAAACAAATCAAACAGGCTTTATAGGTTCAGTATACAGTAAATATTGTATGCTGCTCTTGATGGATGTAAAGAAAAAAAACATGTTTATAATTGCATTCATTCAGGCTGAACACTTTGTTATCTTGTGTTAAGAACTGGACTGTAGTCCTAATAACCTTTGACCAAAATCATAAATAAATGTTGAAATATTACTGAAACCAATAGTACACCATGCATGCACAGTATGCTCTATAAATGCAAAATACATTTGCATGAATGCTAATTACATTACATGTAATTTAAATAAAATACCCAAGGTTAGCTAATGTATTTTCAATCATAAACTAAGAATGATTACATATGCAGCGTTTATAGTTAAATAGAAAGTATAATAGTTCATAATTGACTAATTCATGACTAAAATCTAAAGTTGTGCTTGTTGACATTAGTTAATGCACCGGTAACTAACGTGAACTAACAATGGACAACTTTTTTTTATTAACTAATGTTAACAAAGAGGCCGCACTGTGGCTCAGCGGTTAGCACTGTCGCCTCACAGCAAGAAGGTCGCTGGTTAGAGTCCCAGCTAGACCAGTTGGCATTTCTGTGTGGAGTTTGCATGTTCTCCCCGTGTTGGTGTGAGTTTTCCCCACAGTCCAAAGACATGCGCTATAAATGAATTGAATTAACTAAGTTAGCCGTAGTGTTTGAGTGTGTGTGTGTGATTCTGAGTGTTTTCTGATAAACAAGGGACTAAGCCGAAGGAAAATGAATGTTAAAGGTAATTACTGTAATAAATGTATTGTCCATTGTTTGTTTATGTTAATAAATACATGAACTAATAAAACATTATTGTATAGTGTTACAATCACATTTCATTCTTAAATAGATGAAAAACATCCATAAAATGCAATTTTGTTTTTTTTAAACTGCTGACACTTTGAAAATCAAAAAACATCTACAGGCAAAGCAAAACTAATAAAAAACTAATGTTCACACCTAGCAAGGTAACTATACACGGTAAAAAAATTCCTGTAGAATCTACAGTAACATTATTTGCAGTGGTTCTCCAGTAACTTACTGTAAATCAATTAGAGCAAAAATACTGTATTTACACTATATACAGCCACATTTATCTGTATTTACAGAATTGTATGTATTCAGTATATGTACTGTAAAATATACAGTAATTTACACAATGCAACTTTAAAATACAGTAACATACTCCATAACTGTCTACCAGTAAACTACAGTTATTGTTACAGTTAAATACTGAGTAATTTACAAAAAATGTTAAATGAGTGGATATAAATAATATATTCAGCACTGACAAGCGATAACAATCTGTTTATTTTCAGTTTGTTTTTGTTTTACCTCCTTGTAACCAGCAGGTGTCCTCAGTGTGCTATTAGCGTATATGACTAGTAGAACAAGCTCTTTACGTATAACCAAATCTAACCAAACAGTAGCTATGTTTCCATCCAAAAATGTGAATTAACTTGATGCCCAAAACTGGATTATCACATAAAAGACATGCGGATAAAGTAGCATTTCCACCCAATGAGTCAAATCGAACAAAATCCTCACTCCCTGATTAACTGGTGAGAAATATTAACAGTTATATAAAACTGTTATAAATTAGTTATAAAACTAATTAAAAACGTCAATATCTTCTTCATGTAATAAATTACTTGCACCTCAGAAGGCAATCCTGACACGCAGAGAACACGCGGTGACATTTGAAGGCGTGAGAAGCAGAGCAGAGTAGAGACGCTCTTGACAGTTCTAGAGGTCATTAATATTATAACAACACTAATACTAAAACAGTTAAGGTGTTTAGAATGACCAAAACAACATTTCAGGTGTTTTACAGTGTGCTCAGCCAGCTGGTTTGTCCATTCACACACATTTTTATCATCACATGGTCTCTTATAACAAAGTCACATGACCTTTTTTAATGCGCACACTGGAATTTGTTTTGTAAAAGCGCTTCCATTGTTGTTTAATGTAGTTAATATTTTCTTTTCAAATAAAAAGTTTATCCTACTCAGTTATGCACAAATGTTTTTTTGTGCTCGTTTTGCCATGCTCGTTCCAGCTAACAGGCGTGGGGGAGAACAAAACCGAAAACCACCCAGCAATACAGAGTCCAGACAGCCTATAACAAGCATCGTGCTCTCTCTCATACACACAAACACGCACGCACGCACGCATGCATGCACGCATGCACACACACACAAACACACACATATATACATATATACATACATACATACGCGTGCTCGCTCCCTCAGGGGTTGGGAGCGATATTGTTAGACCGCCCGCTCCCGTCCAAAATTACACCAGTTACCGACCGCTCCAGCGCTTTATTCAGAAATTTATTCCCGCGCCACAAGAAATCTGGTCGGGTCCGGGAATGTAGACCTCTAAAGCAGAGCGTCTACACAAAATTATCTACATTGCAAAACAAATCTGTAAAATGGCAGTTTTCTGTATTTAGTTTTTATTTTTTTTATTTCCTCCATTTATTTATTCTTTTGAAATCGCATCATGAGACCTTGATCTTTTTTTCGACAACTTTTAAGCCTAAAAAATTGGAAAAAGTGATTTTATGAACATTTTTATAGTTTAAAGTGATATATTTTCTGGGCTAATAATAAGCTGACAATATATTTTCTGTTATTTTACAGATTTCTCTATATATTATTTCTTATACATTAATTTTTTTCAAACTACTAACATGTCAATATACTGTAAGTCACCTTGATAAACTGTACATTTTTTTTGTTAGACTGTAATTTTTAACATCAAAGTAGATCAAGGTTTCACAATGCAACTCACAACCATAAATAACCAAAAAGCACAAAACCTGGAAACAAATTAAAATGTTAATTAACTGAAATTTTTACAGTATACAGCTTTAAATTGAGCTTAAAATATTTAGGTGCATTCTGGCTTGCTATCAGTTTTATTGCTTATTAGCTGATAAAAAAATAGTTCTGAAAGTGATCCCAATGACGATACAGTTTCTCTATATCTGTATCACTATAGCAGGGGTCTGAACTGTTGTTTTAGCTTCAGAATGATTTTTAGAATTCTATCATTATCATTATCGTTATTGAATGGGAAATGAAACTGTGGATCTGTGCAAGTCACCTACATCTTAGCTTGTAAACAAATTATATAATTTGCTGCTGACACTCCTGATACATTACATATGCCAAGTACATGACGTCAAATACAAAGAGTATATTAACACAATAACTGAAGACACACTGACCAAATCACAAGGATGTCTCTGTAAATTATTATCCTATTCCTCTTTTTTGGCAGCAGCTGTCATATCATATTCTGTCTCTTGCTTTGTCAAACGCAACCTTTTGCCCCTTAACAAGGCTATAAATCTCATTCACTGTCTTTCAAGTATGACTGCAGCGTTACAGTACGGGGCTGTTATGGGTGAAATGATTGTTTCTTTGGTCACGTAGCTCTCATCTGAAAACAGCAGGACCTTTTTCCATTACAGGTGACACAGCTAATCATCGCAGCACAAAAAAAATAGCTTCGGCTCAGCTCCTCCATTAGGCTTTAAGTGAGTGAATCAGCGTATGAACGGATGAAATATGCAAAAATGTGGTATGAACATCTCAAGCCACTGCAGGCATGCATTCTGTGTACACACACACACACACACACACACACACACACACACACACACACACACACACACACACACACACACACACACACACACACACACACACACACACACACACACACACACACACACACACAAACACACAAACACACAAAACACAAACACAAGTTAAATCTGCGATGTTAAGCAAAGGAGAAGCACTCACCAAATATCTCTCCATTTCTGGCGTATTCTGTGACTAGATAGAGCATGTTTTTGGTCTCCATAACCTATCGAAAGAGAAAGAGACGTGACTTTGATGTGCTGCACGAATATGGGATGATTATGATAATGCAATTAATATCACAAATCGCAAAACCCAGAAATCAGCAGAGCGCTCCAGACTGACAGCATCTTTACCTGGCGTAAGTGTTCACACCTAACTTCAAGTAAGAAAACAATTCTATATGCTATTTTCTTGCGAGGTAAAATAAAATGTCTATTTAATTAGAAGCCTTTCTTTCTCTACAATGCTCTCCCATCTTTGAGTTTTCTTAATAGTGAAAACAACCTAACTGGCAATGATTCAGTACTGTGGTTTACACAACCAACAAATGTTTAAAATGTCTATTTTCCTTATGGCCTTAAATTGATTTTAAGCTTGAAAATGAAAATAAAGTTATAAATAAATATTATAAATAAACAGATTGGTAATATTTTATGGATTTTTAAAATCATTTAATATTAATATAATTATCTATCATAATATACATTTTTAAAAAGTATATTATTAATAATAATGATTAAAATATTTTTTCATAGTTTTTTTCTATATCTTCTTCTGGAGAAAGTCTTATTTATTTTTTATTTATTAATTATTATTATTAATATAGTTACAAATTTATAAAAAAAAAAGGAAAAAAAATTCTAGCCCCCTAAAGCCTGGTTTATACTTCTGCGTCAAGTGATCAGTGTGACTCACGGTGCATGCCTTGCGTCTGTCTGTCTGTCTGTCTGTCTGTCTGTCTGTCTGTCTGTCTGTCTGTCTGTCTACCTACCTACCTACCTACCTACCTACCTACCTACCTACCTACCTACCTACCTACCTACCTACCTACCTACCTACCTACCTACCTACCTACCTACCTACCTACCTACCTACCTACCTACCTATCTATCTATCTATCTATCTATCTATCTATCTATCTATCTATCTATCTATCTATCTATCTATCTATCTATCTATCTATCTACAGTATCTATCTATCTATCTATCTATCTATCTATCTATCTATCTATCTATCTATCTATCTATCTATCTATCTATCTATCTATCTATCTATCTATCTATCTATCTATCTATCTATCTATCTATCTATCTATCTATCTATCTAAAACATTAATTAGGACGAACAAAAACCAGAAACTTTCTAACTAATGCTGTTATGACTTTATATTTGCCCAATAATTCCAAAATGAATGTCTAATAATTATAAAAAATTTATGATGACAAAGATGACAATAATACTAACAATGAATAACATTTCTCATTATCATTCTGTCTTGAAAGCGAGTTATCTGCTATAAAAAGTCCTACTGTTACTTTATGAAAAATAAATCTATGGTTTGCATGAAAAAAATAAGCACTGAAGTAAGAAATGTTTATTTTGCACTACTGTTTTTATTTGTATGTCAATTTAATAAACAGAAAGAATGGACAAAAGAAAGGAGGAAAAGTCTTACTTTTGCACCTCTTTAAAAGTTTTGGTTTGGGTTTGTGTCATTTTAAATGCTCAGTCTCGTTATGCTCTCTGTGTTTGTGAAAAAAAGCCGGCGAGTCAGTCAGCCCATAAAAGCGGGGCAGAGCAGGATTCTCGCGATGACCACCAGCATAGTACTGTTGTCATTAGCGCAGATTCAGTTTAAACTTAGTAAAGGCGAGCTTCTTTAGCAATGATGTGCACAGGGTTAGCAGGGTCAGCACGTCCATAAAGGCGACCTAGGAATTAAAGTGTGGTTAATAGTGAAACCGGCAAATCGTTGCATCCCTATGTTTGTGTTAAGCTAATTGGACAAACTGGTATCAGCGAGAAAGCAGTTCACATGCAGGTAAGCAGTCAGCTGGTAAGTGCGAAAAGGAACGACGTCATACCGCCCTGTAGTCTTCGTTTTAATGACGAAATGCAGCCATAGGTAGCTCTAGCTACATAATTTGTGATCTCCAGAAACTTATATAGGGCTACGTTTTTAGAATGAGCATATGTTGATATTTACAAGAGAGCCACTCTTTCACTGCTATGTAGAAAATCAAAGCTGTCAACTCTGTTTCTCTCTGTGTGTGGACCTTTGACCTGCTTCTGTGAGGTAATGTTTCCTCTCCTCTATCAGTTGTTACAGCGATACTTGTGGATCCAGACGGATCCAGACTGTAAATGTGGCCGTTTATCTGTATCGTTTATCACTCATCAGTGAACACCGCCAGAGCCGATGTAACAATCTAAATGTAAAGGTTTTTAAATATCTATTTATAAGATATAATATAGAATTCATTCAACTGTAATTACAATACTGTAGTTATTTTTTTTATTTGTCATGACAACTGACAACTTTGTTGGAAAAAACTTGTTTTAAATAAAAAGTAACATAATGTAACATACTTTGTGATTATGCTTGGTGGTGCATTGTTTTGGTGCTTTTAAAACCCCCTCATTAAACCCTCTACTCTTTTATGAAAATATAATAAATCACATTTTAAATCGCAAATAGCAAATCAATTTTGATCAGATAAATCGCAATTAGATTGTTTTCTCTAAATCGTGCAGCACTAATATATATACAGTATATAATGAAGTGTGTCCAACATGCTGACTGGTAATGTACATCTGCATTGTACTGTATTTCTATGTGCCATCATCCTTGGATCACGGTATCATCGCTGCACTTTTTAAGAGCACATTTCTTTGTTCTGTTGCTCTGTTTTTGTCTGTTGGGACTAATATTGGACAAATTTGTACATTTGGTAGATTTCTAAAGGTCTATTGCCCGGTGATTCTGCAAAATGAACAATGAGCTTTTTTTTTTTAGAAAGCTCTGTTATATTACCCAACAGACAAATCACAACATGACCTCTGGCCCTCGCTAAAAGTCATGATTGGACTGCTGCTGATGCTGTATTTGTGTTATGTAACAGTTCATCATCCAGACCCAGACTGAGCTAAAAATCTTACATAACATAACATGGCTAACCCTATAAAGCACCAGCTCTAGCTACGGGACTCAACAGGCCTAATCTCAGCAACTGCTAGTATGTACTGCGTGTTATCACAAATGTATACATAAATGCATGCAATTAACATATGGGAAAGTACCTGGTAAAGCTTGATGATGTGAGGATGGTCCAGCAGTTTCATGATTTCCACTTCTCTGTAGATCTTCTCCAGGTTCACCGCATCTAGCTGGGTTTTGTCTATGATCTTAATGGCCACCTGCAATTCAGCAGATGTACGTGTTATTATACAGAGCTTTTGTTCGCAGCGGGGTTTTGAAGCCACTGATGCATTATTTATTCGCAGTTAGCAGAAACTAAAGGATTATTTTAATAAATCATTCACTGAGCTGCACTGCAATAATAATCAGTAAAACGAAACAAAAAAATGTAAAGATCATTTCTTTTACTTTATAGTTGCAATAAATTTTTGCTCAATTCATTGCTCAAACTATACTTGCTCCATCAGATCTTACTTTAAAGCATCTCTTATATAAAAATTTAGCAACTGGTACTTAGCCATGAGAGGATAACTGTTTTAAAGATTTATCACAGTTTGGAAAGTTTTAAATCTGTAAAAATATTTCGTAATACCATTTCAGTGGTTTTTTTAATTTATGTTGTTGCGTGTTTTGATGAAGACTATTTTATTGATTTTTAGGGCAACAGTATCTCCAGCAGCAAAGGATTACATTGGTGCTTGTTCAAACTACATTAGTTAAAATGAGCTGAATCAACAGAATTCTTGAGGCTTTTTTAAACAACTTAATTGTTTTATATATATAGACTTAAATGTGTAAAAACAATTAAGTTAACTTAATGTGTGTAGTGGTCAATTAAAAAAAAAAAACGAAATCGCTTATGTGTCAATAGCCAAGCATGCTCTGGACCTAAACAATGCAGTGGCTTACATTATATCCAAAGAAAAGATACATTTCCAATGACGTCTTTTCAAGCTGTAAACTCGAAAACCGAACATTAGATTTGAATATAATTTACCTCAGTTAAATTCATCTTTATTTCGTTAGCACTTTCACAATGTGGATTCATTCATTCATTCATTCATTTTCTTGTCAGCATAGTCCCTTTATTATTCCGGGGTCGCCACAGCGAAATGAACCGCCAACTTATCCAGCACATTTTTATGCAGCGGATGCCCTTCCAGCTGCAACCTATCTATGGGAAACTTCCACACCCACATTCACACACAGACTCATACACAACGGACAATTTAGCCTACCCACTTCACTTGGACTGTGGGGAAAACCAGAGCACCCAGAGGAAACCCATGCAAACGCAGGGAGAACATGCAAACTCCACACAGAAATGCCAACTGAGCCGAGGATCTAATCAGCGACCCAGCGACCTTTTTGCTGTGATGACACAGCACTACCTACTGCGCCACCACAATGTGGATTGTAAAATCATTATAGTTGAAGTTTAGTTTAGTTTAGTTCAGTGTGTTTAAAAGTCCAAACACTGAAGAGCAAATCCATTGATGCGCAACTCCACAAGTCCCAAACCAAGCAAGCCAGTGGCACTAATGGCGAGAAACAAAACTTCACCAATTGACGAAAGGAAAGATAGATAAAAGTCAATTGTTTATTTAAACTATTTAGCCAGACAAAATATTTAAAATGTATCCTAAAATAAAATATACTGTGTTCAATGAGGAAACAGTTGCTATTTTTTTACCTAGACATTTAAAAAGAACTTATTTTAAAACAGTAATCACAATACCATGAAATAGTGCTGTTTATCCAAGGTTGTCATACTGTTAGAATCTTAAACAAGCCCATGCCTACTGGTACTGGATATATATGGCTGTACTACTTTTGCTCGTAAGAAATGGTGAGAACTGAAACAGCTTAATTTGTTTGGTTTGACTGCAGCTCTTACAGGGATAGTTTGATAAAAAAAAGAAATTACTGTCGTCATTTACTCATCCTTGACTTTAAAAGCTATTTTCTTTTTGATTTATTTATTCTGTTGAACACAAAGTAAGATACTGAAGTATGTTGGAAACCTGTAATTTGTTTTTCCTTGTTCGGAGGTAAACAGTTACAGGTTTCCAACATTCTTAAAAAAATGTTCTTTTGTGTAAAACAGAATAATTAACTCAAATTGCTCTGTAACAAAACAGTAAAGTACAAGCAAGTCTAATGAGTACTTTCCTTTTACTTTCCTTCAGTTTAGTGCCTTTATTCATCAGGGGTCACCACAGTGGAATGAACTGCCAACTTAACCAGCATATGTTTTAGCAGATGCCCTTCCAGCTGCAACCCAGTACTGGGAAACACCAATACACTCTCACACATGCACAAACATAACACTCGGGTCAATTTAGTTTATTCAATTCACCTATAACACATGTCTTTGGACTGTGGGGGAAACCAGAGCACCTGGAGGAAACCCACGCCGACACTGGGAGAACATGCAAACTGACCCAGCAAGGACTCCAACCAGTTACCTGTGAGGCGACAGTGCTAACCGCTGAGTCACAGTGTCGCCTAAATAAATGCTGACATAATTTTCATTTTTTTTGGGAACTATCACTTTAAGTCACTCTCAGACTCAAATTCAGAGAGTTAAGTGACCCTTTTTGTGGCACAGCTGCAATGTAATACTGATCTAAACTGATGCAAAAGCAGATCTAACGCCACATTACATAATGCAGACTGTAGTTAAACAACAATCTGAAGGTGCAGAAATATGGTTCTACTTTTGATTTGCCTTAAATAATCAAAGGTTGTGGCTTTTTATTTAAACATATTAAGCTATTAAAAATAATAAATGGTTGAAAACACACATTTTATGGATGAAAACGTTTTTTTTTTTCGTTTTTTTTTTTCTAATTATTAAAAGTCCAAAACGTCTAGGTGGTCAAACTTTGAAAACCTCATATAAATAGTTAAAAATAATTCTCACAAATATTTTGGTGAATAGCTGAGGGCTTCATTTACATATACTTAAGATCAACACCATAAGACATCTTATTGATATTTAAATATCACCACAAAGTACTGGGTAGATTACTTGATATTAACTGTAATCCTTTACTAATTACATCATGAATAAATTAACTGTATTGCACTTTTGAACATCAGTGTTTCCCAAAGTGGAGTTCATCATACAAATGAAAAATTAAAACCATTTTAGAAATAGAACACTTGATGCCTAGATAAAACTTGTTTATGTTTACAAAAATTTCACACTGTAAAAAATACTGGGTTCCACACAATTCCTTCATGTTGTCCCAACACAAATCAATCAAGTTAACTTAATCATTTTTACAAATATAAAGAGATTGAATGTAATATCATAAAGTTGACCCAAATAACACAAAGGAATTGTGTTGTTTCAACTATTTTTAAATAAGTAGTTTTAACAAGCTGCAAAAGTTATTTTTAAATTAGAGAACCAGTTGAAAACATGCAAATGTATTGTTAAATCGTTGATATACAGTATTAGTAAACAATTTCAGGGGTAAAAAGTACTTTTCTTTTGGTCAAAGGGGATCAGTCCAGCACAAATGTCTTGAAATCTCTGAATTACATGAACAAACATTAATAACAACGAAAACAATAATCCACAACCAAATCTTCTAAATTTCCAGATATTTTGATATTTACATCTTTATTAGAAGTGAATGCATGTGGATTTTAAGAAAAAACTTATATTATATTATATAATACACAAAAAGTAACTGTAATCTAAAAATGAGTATTTTAAAATGTAATCTAATCTGTGATCCATAAATATTCAGTGTTCAGCATTAATAAGTACACCGCTCACAAATCTATCTTTTAAATTCATATTTGTAATAGGAAGTTATTATATTTGTGCATATACATTACACTGCGAACAATGCAGGGTACCGTACCACAAAATTCATTCATTAACACTTTTAACAAATTTATGAGACATAAAGTTAAGTTGTCCCAAAGGATTCGGAAATTGTGCTGTTTCAGCTCATTTAAATTAAAAAGTTTGATTAAGCAAAAAAAAATGTAAAATTATATATATATATATATATATATATATATATATATATATATATATATATATATATATATATATTTTTTTTTTTTTTTTTAAATGTAGATTAGTCAGTACTGAAGCCAAATCTAGAGCTTATCTAACAAAATAACTAAACAACCCAAAAACTAGTACATGCAAATTTATACGTTATAGAAACATATTATATACAAATATTAAAAAAGAGAAACAAATCAAGAGAAGCAATAAGAAATAAAATTGTAGGTTGTAATTTATTTTTGCAATGTTTTGCTTAAAATTAATTGTATCTTTATCTTTCAATTTCTAAATATTGTTCGGTGACTAAAATATTATTTTAATAAATAAATCTGTTTAATAAACATGTTTTGTTTAAATGCACAATAATACAGTCATGCACGGAGAAATTGATGAAAATATTCATATTTAAAATGGAGTGTTCTTATTTATGCTGTGCAACTAAAATGTAATATTACAATTGTTTCATTTTTTAAAATCTGATCCAGAATGTATGAATTCAATTTACCCAATTTGTACAAAAGTGTAAGTAGTAGCCTATAGTACAATATCAAGTGGTGTAACTTAATATAAACTGTCCATACAAACCACTATACACCACTTGACATTATAGCTAATCTCTCAAACACTTTTGTTTTGCACAAAATGATATAATCGTTTTTCAAAACCTGTTAATATCCTCTGAATAATATAAAGATTGCATTCACATTAGAACTTTGCTTTCCATAAACTGGCTTAAATTGTTTCTATTTTCACCCTGCAGATACATTTCGTCACAGACTTGAATACAACTTACATTTTCATGATTGAGTAAAAGGAGGGGAAGACATTAAAAAAAGCTCAACCTAAATATTTAGTAAGTTGATGTGACTGCACAAAGCAAGCGCGTGTCCACCGAAAACACTAGAGTGCGTGCTTATGTATGTGTGTATGTGTCTGTGTTTGTCACTCACCTCAGATTTTGTGATTCGATGTCTCGCCAGCTTCACAACTGCAAAATTGCCTTTTCCCAGTGTGCGCTCAATATCGTAAAATCCTACGCGTACCGGAGCCCGTTGCAACGGCTTTTGGTCCTGAGCGGCCATGACCATAGTTTTCTAGTGAACTACTGGAGAAAGAGGTTTGTGTGTGTGTGTGTGTGTGTGTGTGGATGATTCATCCACCTTCACCTGCTCTTAGAAAGCAACTGAAGTATGAGTATGCTTCTAATGGCAAACGTTAAAATGCAAATGGGGCATATGGGTGCCAAGGGCTCCAGCACATCTCTTCATTCCCAGATAAGGGCTCTACATGACTGGAATGAGCGTGCATTCCGCTCTGATGCTCGGGCTGTGAGGAATGATGTTCTGGCGCTCGACAGACATTGACGTCAGTGCTGAAGGGATTTTTATAAAGGGGCGGGTCTCGCAAAGCGGCTTCAACGTCCGCGAGCGGCGTGTCACCACGACAACCTTATCCGCTGCGTACGTCAATCAGCGGCTATTGCAATCTCTACAAACACTCGCAACTCCCTTGCATATATTTGACCTTCAGTTGACGCTGTTATGAACATGATTATGCACTGCGCGCTGCTTCAACATGCAAACATCAGCACGAATTTTTATTTAAAATTAATTTAAATTTTATGAATTTTTGCTGCATTCCAATTTTTTGTCGAGAGCTGATTTAGCTCGGTGCATGAATGATTATTATTAATATTAAAAATAAATAATAATAATAATAATTATTATAGTTATTATTAAATGCATTGACTGACCGAGGTGTGCTCCCTGTGCTTTTATTCATTTATTTAACTTTAAATCTATAATATATATATATATATATATATATATACACACACACACACACACACACACACACACACACACACACACACACACACACACACACATATATATATATATATATATATATATATATATATATATATATATATATATATATATATATATATATATATACATATAGGGGCGGTGAGGCAGTGGCACAGTTGGTAGTGCTATTGCCTCAAAGCAAGAAGGTTTCTGGGTCGAACCTCGGCTTAGTTGGTGTTTCTGTGTGGAGTTTGCATGTTCTCCCTGCGTTCGCGTGGGTTTGCTCCGGTTTCCCCCACAGTCCACAGACATGCGGTACAGGTGAATTGGGTAGGCTAAATTGTCCGTTGTGTATGAGTGTGTGTGTGAATGTGTGTGTGGATGTTTCCCAGAGATCGGTTGCGGCTGGAAGGGCATCCGCTGCGTTAAAAGTTGCTGGATAAGTTGGCGGTTCATTCCGCTGTGTCGATTAATAAAGGGAATATGCTGACAAGAAAATTTATGAATATATATCAAATTGTTTTGCTATATGTACAATTTATTACCTTTATTAACTAAATAAATATGACTATATTGAATATACAGTATATTACATACACGTTTACTTCAGCAAATTTACATTGTAAATTCTGTCATCTCTGATGACATTTTTTCCCATCTGATCTGCTGTAATTTAGACCATTTTGTAATGACATAATATATGACAAAAAATTTGGGATAAAAAGACAAAAATGTTTTAGGACATGATTATGTTTTTTTTTTTTAAAGACAACACAATATCAATGTTTTCATTTAGGAAGGCTATATCTGGTTCAATATTTATGATTTTCAATCACAACAATAACAAACAAAAATATAAATAGTAATAATAATAATAATTATAATGTTATTATGAAATGTTTTGAAAGAACTCCATTCCTGTGCTTGCTTATAATTATTTTCATAACTTTAAAATATATAGAATAATTATACATATACCAAGTGGTTTTGTTATATTTGAAATTTAATAACTCTGAATACACAATAAATAGGGATTTATAATGTTGACCTTTAAATGTTTTTATTAATTAAAACTGCTTTTATTCTATAGCCAAAATAAAACAAATAAGACTTTCTCAAGAAGAAAAAAATATTATCAGACATATTGTAAAAAAAGTCGTTGCTCTGTTAAACAAAATTTGGCAAATATTAAAAAAATAAAATAAAATAAAAACCCTAAGGGGTGGCTAATAATTCTGACTTTAACTGTATATACAAACATCTGTGACTATGAGCATGTTGTCATAGAGCGCCCCCTGCTGTTAAAATCGCCCAGTAGTATTTACGTTCACTTCTCATTACTGTGCATGCATAACTGACTGATAGGTGATTAATTTGGCAGAAAGTAAATTTCATTCGTTTGTTTTTGTTTATTAAGGCTTCATTAACATCACTGCATACACATTCCAATATTTGCATATAACAAACCTGAAGGACATTTGATCATTCATTATTTGACAGGAAAAGACAGTCTGAAAGAGATTGTCAGTGTTGTTACTGAGCTTGAAACAGCACATCCAGTAAAAGCAGCATAACAGGGTCATGCAAACCAACAAGCTTCCACAGATCCAATTTCTTTCAGATCTCATTAATTTGCTGAGCAGCTTGTTTAAAACAAAATGCCACCATTGAGTGTTCAACCTTCAGAACTTTCTTTGTAGATGGTGTTGCTTTTATATTTGTGTTTTATATATGATAGGGGTGTCATAATAAAGAGGATGGGTGCAAAACATCTGACAATCAAGTAAACTTCAGATAGTGTTGCACTAAATTTTAGATAAAAAGTAGATTGATTGTAAGACAGAGAATTACTTTTATTATTATTTAACATATCATATGTAATTTTTTTATTTTAAAGGCATTGTTCACTTAAAAAGAACAATTTACTCAACATTTACCCACACTCGTGGTTACGAGCTTGTTTAATGTTGAAGATGACATTTGTAAGAATACTGAAAACCAGTAGCCACTGGCATTAATATTTGTAAAGATTGTATTGAAGTCAACATTCTTCTGAATATATATATCTGGAACAAGAAGTCTGGAACAAATCGAGGGTAAGTTAATAGTCTATCCATCTCATTTTGCAATATGGAAATGTGCCAGATGTCCAGTAAATAACTAGAAGTATGATAAAATGTAAATTGTAACACCATTTTCACTACTAGCCAGTGTGTGTTTATGATCATTATAACTATCAGAGAGTAGCTTATATTGTGATTATTACGAGCAACAAGCTGCTTAACACTCTCACTGTATCTGCTTAATTAAGCAAATGACATTAACTATCCAAATAATAGCTGCTTATTACTATTTATTTATTGAACTGATCTCTGGCTGATAACAGAGCACATTAAAACAATCATTTTCTAGAATGCTGCTTTAAAACAATGTTTAAGTTATTGTGGAAAAACAATATCAGGAAGCAAAACTGATCATTTTGCAAAAGCTAAAAGCCTCAACTTATGGCAAACCATTTCAACAGTTAACATATAAGATATTCTAGTACCTATTTTCATGCTACTTGTTATTTTTTTTAGACTACTACTACTCATTGTTTAGACTATACAGGTACAGTGCAAAGTATTCATAGTGCTTCACTTTTTCCACATTTTATTCCAAAATGGATTTAATTAATTAATTTCCTCCAAATTCTACACACAATACCCCATAATGACAAGGTGATTTTTTTTAATTGTTGCAAATTTGTTAAAAATAAAAACCTGAAAAATCACACGTACAGAAGTATTCACAGCCTTTGCCATGAAGCTCTAAATTGAGCTCAGCTACATTCTGTTTCCACTGATCATTCTTGAGATGTTTCAGCAGCTTGGAGTAATTGTGGAGTAATTGTGGTAAATTTAGTTGATTGGACATGATTTGAAAAGGCATACACCTGTCTATATTAGGTCCCAGGGTTGACGGTGCAAGTCAAAGCACAAACCAAGCATGAAGACAAAGGAATTGTCTGTAGACCTCCAAGACAGGATTGTCTTGAGGCACAAGACTGGGGAAGGGTACAACAACATTTCTGTGGCTCTGAAAGTCCAAATGAGCACAGTTGCCTTAATTATCCATAAGTGGAACCACCAAGACTCTTCCTAGAGCTGGCCGGCCATCAAGGCTGAGTGATTGGGGGAGAAAGGCCTTAGTCAAGGAGGTGATTAGTAACCCGATGGTCACTCTGTCTGAGCTCCAGCGCTCTTCTCTGGAGAGAGGAAAACCTCACAGAAGAACAACCATCTGTGCAGCAATCCACCAATCAGGCCTGTATGGTAGAGTGACCAGACGGAAGCCACTCCTGCAGTGAAGCATGGTGGTGGCAGCATCATGCTGTGGGGATATTTTCAGCAGCAGGAACTGTAAGATTAGTCAGGATAGAGGGAGAGATTAATTGATTAATGAATTTAATCAGGCCCGTGCAGAGACCGTCCAAAGGGCATGTGCAGGATAAATTTTTTGAAGGGGGGGTGTGGTTGGGTGGGTGGTGTTGTCGCGCGCGTAGTAAACAGCGGTGTTGTCACGCGGATTCTGATCAGCTGTGTTGTCGCGCGCCTATTGAAGGGCGGGACCGAGGGTGTGTTGCGTCGCGAGGGCACTTTTGATCATTTTGGAAGGGCACTTTCTATCCAAGACTAAAAAGGGCATGTGCACTGCACAGGTTGAGCCCTATGTGTGCACGTGCCTAATTTAATCCATTTTGAAATAAGTCTGTAACATAAAAAAACATGGAAAAAGCAAAGGGCGACTGAGGCTGGTGTCAGAGCATCAAGAACCACCACATACAGACGTCTGCATGACATAGGGTACAGCTGTAGAATTCCATGTGTCAAGCCACTCCTGAAGCAAAAACAACAATAGAAGCATCTGTGCTGGACTAAATAATAAAAGTACTGGTCTGTTGCCCAGTGGTCCCAAGTCTTCTTTTGAGATGAAAGCAAATTTTGCATTTCATTTGGAAATCAAGATCCCAGAGTCTGGAGCAAGAGCGGAGAGACACAAAAGTCAAGCTGCTTAATGTCCAGTGTAAAGCTTCATAGTCAGTGTTGGTTTGGGGAGCCATGTCATATGTTGGTGTGGGTCCACTGTCTTTGTATCAAGTCCAAAGTCAATGCAGCGCTATACCAGGACTTTTTAGAATACTTCAAGCTTCCTGACAAGCTTTTTGAAGATGGTGATTTTATTTCAGCAGGATTTGGGACCTGCACACAATGTCAAAGCTACCGGTACCTGGTTTGAGGACCATGGTATCCTTGTTCTTAATCGCCAGAAAACTGACTGAAAACACCTGACTTTAACCCTATTGAAAATCTAGGGTCTAGTGTTGAGAGGAAGATGAGGGAACAAAGACCCTGAAATGCAGACGACCTGAAGACCAATATCAAAGCAACTTGGTCTACTATAACAACTTAACTGTGTCAAAAGCTGATTGCCTCAATGCCAATCCGCCTTGATGCTCTAAATAGTGCTAAAGGAGGCCCAACAATGTACTGGGGACATAATACAGTAC